CTTACTATGGTTAACCAAGCTATGAATGGGTGGTTTTATTTAGCTTTTCTGGTTTGCTTGCTTGGGCTGTTTGGAGGGAAATTAAGATGAGCAGAAATGTAGTAGTAGATTCATGAAAGCCTTGAAAGCTTCTTTAATTAGAGAATTTAATGAGGGCTTTGGCATGCATTCTTTGGTTTTTCTCTGTTTTCCTCTACCTCTTCTTCCTTTTGGTTCATAGAAAAATAGAAAGAAATTCTCAAAAACCATACAGGAGAATACCTTATAAATGATATCTTCTGCAATAAACTATAGATTATTTACATGTTTATGTATCTAGATACACAGTCTGTGTGTGTGTATATATGCATGTGTGGGTATATATATGTATATATTAGTTACTAGTATATAGGTAAGTATAAAAACTCAATGTGCAAGGTTACATTTTCAGAAAATATGTAACATAATAGAAGAAATCAAGCCTAGAATTTTTTAAAAGTTTATTGCGTTTTTTGTTAAAAATGAAAGGCTTTTTTGACTAGAAGCTGCTTCTCAGTAAAAATAACATAATTGTGTTGGTGAAACCGAAAGATTCTAATCAAAATTAGGATGTTGACCACCAAACTGAATTGCTGGAGTACTTAAGCTGCTTTGGTTTTGTAATCTTTCTGTGTCAGAATATTTGGAAAACACTTATTAATCCAATCTTGTAACTTATCCTTGAAATCTCTTTTTCATATTCTTTTCCACACACATGAAAAGTTAGATAAGTATATGAATTTCTGTTGTCAGACTATAATTGGAAACCTCCTAAATATAGTTTGTGCAGTATAGTTAAAGAGAAAGAAAATAGGCCCAGCACGGTAGCTCACGCCTGTAATCTCAGCACATTGGGAGGCTGAGATAGGGAGGATTGCTTGAGGCCAGGAGTTCAAGACCAGCCTGGGCAACATGGTGAAACTCCATTTCTACAAAAAATACAAAAATTAGCTGGGCATGGTGGCATGTGCCTGTAGTCCTGTAGTCCCTGCTACTTGGGAGGCTTGGGTGGGAGGATTGCTTAAACCTGAGGAGGTTGAGGCTGCAGTGAGCTATGATTGAGCAACAGAGCTAGACTCTGTCTCAAAAAAAAAAGAGATGTGTTTCGAAATTCAGTACTTTTTTTGAGTGAGGTCCAATGGGTAAGAAAGAAGCATTGGATAAATGAATCCATTTTCTCTTCTTTGTTTGAATTTGTAATTTAAAAGAATATTCTACCTATAAAGTACTTCAGTGCTTAATTAGCTGTCAGTGAATTTATATATCTTATCTAATTCATATGGATTGGCTATTTTTATCTGTACCTACAGATTCTTTTTTTTTTTTTTTTTTGAGACAGAGTCTGGCTCTGTCGCCCGGGCTGGAGTGCAGTGGCCGGATCTCAGCTCACTGCAAGCTCCGCCCCCCGGGTTTACTCCATTCTCCTGCCTCAGCCTCCCGAGTAGCTGGGACTACAGGCGCCCGCCGCCTCGCCCGGCTAGTTTTTTGTATTTTTTTTAGTAGAGACGGGATTTCACCGTGTTCGCCAGGATGGTCTCGATCTCCTGACCTCGTGATCCGCCCGTCTCGGCCTCCCAAAGTGCTGGGATTACAGGCTTGAGCCACCGCGCCCGGCCTAGATTCTTGACCTCTCTAATGGGATCCGAGTATACTATAGGGAATGAGGTACAATATAAGTAAAAGACCTATCACTAGTCCTGTCATCATTCCAACTCATGTGTAATTATAGTTGAAAAGAAGTGATATCATGTGTATTGCTGTCGTCTTTACGTTAATCTTGTGGTCAAGAAAGCAAATATTATAATATATAGGAATGATATGATATCATAAGACAGGTAATATAATAATGGGAACATAATCCCATTTTGCAAATGAGGCAATGAAAATTTAGAAAAATAAAGTGACTTGTCCAAGGTCACATGAATGCTAAGTGACCAAGTGTCAAAGCAGAATTTTCCAAATAATTTAAAGATAATTCTTGTACAAATATAGAAAGAACACATGTCATATGTGTCGTGTTGATGAGGGAACCAGCAGGATGACAGCTTTGGTTCAGAGAGGTGCAAAGATAAATATAGACTTTGGAGGAAAAAGTTGGGAATAAGATTGCTAGGTTAGATACAAAGCTGTGCTATAGGGCAATAAAAACCATAGACTTTGAGGTTATCTTTTTTACTCGACAAGATTCAGTTACACCTTTATGAGACCAAAATTTATTATTTAACATGTGGATATTAGAGTCTGAGTTTTAAAATTATTAATAAATAACCAGTCAAATAAAGATATGTCCCCTAATGAAATACTAATAATCATTGGGTGAGCTTGTGCTCCTATATGACATTGAAATGACATACTGCCCTCTCTTTGTCTAAGTTTTGGATACTTTTTTTTTTTTCTTTGTTGACACAAAGCAGCATTGGAACCTAGGTTTTCTGACTTTCAGTCCAGGCTTCTTTCCACTCTACTTCCTTCTTCTTCATAGTATAATTTTCAACGCTAGAGCAGTCTGCATAACTTTTGCAAAATCAGCTAGTCTTAGTTATTAGTTTTCCTTTGTGCAAAGTGATGTAGATACAGCTTTCTTCCTCAGAGAAACATTGTGAAATTCAATGGATATTTGTAAAATTTGCATACATGCCCAGTGTGAAAAATTGAAATTATAACTTAAGTATTGCAACTGTTCTTTTAGAATATTTTGTTAGCAAATTTCAGAGTAATTATAAATATTCTTGCGTTTTTATTGTAATAAGTATTTATAAAAGTGTATTTCATCACATTAACCTTTACATATTTTGAATAAAATAGAATTGAACTGTTTTAAATAGTAAGTGGAAATTTTTCCACATTAAACCCTTTAACTGGCTAGCACAGTTAAGCATTGCATTATTTAACTAATAATTTTTTCCTCAACTTCAGATTATTATCCGTATGTGTCATGTAACTTGACAATTTTTTTTTTTCTTTTAGTGCTTTTCAAAAAGAGTGGGATACTTTATTCAGTTTAGCCCTCAAGCAATTAGGGAAGTCAGTTACCATGGTAACAGTAGGTATTAATTTCCTTACCTAGTTAGAGGTTTTATGAACAAAGAAATATCTGAGTTCATCCACCAAAACCCAACTTTGTCTTGAGACTGGCCTCTTGAGACTGGTATTAAATCTGTCTATTTTCTAGAAGATGACACTATTCTAAGTGGAAAATGCGGTTCTCTTGAGGTGAATTTCTACTCTTATCAGAGTGATGTAGAGTATGGTTTAAAAGTTAAGTGATTAAAAAGCTACCCTTTCTTAGCTAATTTGGAATGTAATTGGTCTTAATTTTTCTAAATTTGTTCTAACTAAAATCTTACTGGCGTGATTTCTATTGACATGAACTAGAAATTACTTCAGCAGACAACTTGTCCCAATATCTAAATGCTGTCAAATAGAATCACTTAAGATTAATTTCTTCCAAAACAGAGTTCACAGTTTTGACAGATAATCTCTTAGCATTTAATTGACTGATATTACCAACCTTATGGAGTAGGTCCACTCGTTTAGCTGTCATGAGGACCATTTTGCAACTAATTTATCAAAAAGCCTTCACCGAGAAGTTTCATATCTTATTGATATTTTAGAATGCATTATGGAGATTAAAAATCACTACATTGGGTTGTTAATAACGCCAGCCTTGAACTTTCAGTTTTAGAGCATTTCATCTGTGTTCTGTAGTAGAAGTTGGTAAGGTGTCCAGTGGGTCATGTTTGACTTGCTGCTTGTTTTTGTACTATGTACTGAATGGTTTCTACATTTTTCAGTGGTTGAAAAGTCAAAAGAAGAATAATATTTTATGAAATTTAAATAAATCCAGCTTTCAGTGTCTGTAGGTAAAATTTCATTGTAACGTTGTTATGCTTAAGTATTGTTTATGACTTCTGTGCTATAGTGACAAACTTGAGTAGTTTTGACAAAGATCATCTGGCCCGTAAAGCCTAGAATATTTACCATATAGCCCTTTAGAGAAAAAATTTGCTGGCCCTTGATCTATAGTATGAAAAAATGTAGCCTTGATTATTCATTAAAAAATTACTTTTTCATTTTATTGACATACTTTTGTCCCCTGATTGTTAAAAGGAACACATGTTCTTAGAGAAAAGTTAGAATATATAGAAAAGTATAAAGAAGAATATGAAAAACCATTTGCAATTGTGAGATAACCACTAATGTTTTGGTATACATTGCTCCGGACTTACATACAAACATACATGCGTATTTAGTTTATACAATTAGAGTCTAATTTTCTTTTTGAGACAGTCTTGTTCTGTTGCCCAGGGTGGAGTGCAGTGGCAAGATTTCAGCTCAATGCAACCTCTGCCTCCTGGGCTCAAGTGCTTCTTGTGCCTCAGCCTCCCAAGTAACTGGGATTACAGGCATGCACCATCATGTCCCCCTAATTTTTGTATTTTTAGTAGAGACGGGGTTTTGCCATATGCCCAGGCTGATCTCAAATCCCTGACTTCAAATCATCTGCCTGTCTTGGTCTCCCAAAGTGCTGGGATTACACACATGAGCTCCTGCTCCTTAATTTTTTAATTGGCTTTTTTCACTTGAATATTTATAAGAACATTATTTTTAATGATTGTGTAGTGTTCTGTTTTATGGATGTACCATACTTAATTATTTAGCCATAATTTATTATTATGAGGTTGATAGACATGATAATCAGATTGAGCTCAAGAAGCTAGTTATAGGGTTGCACAATTAATGAATCCCAGGTACCTTGCTGGGTTGCTGAGGCTGCTATTTTTTTCCTGCCTGTTTGGAACACTATGTTTGAGACCAATGAGGCAAGGGAAATTGAAGAGCTGCCATTTTCAATTATTCTATTAGAAGATACATTGAAGATTTGTGGAATGACATAGACACAACACTAATCCAGAAGATTATTTAATCAAAAAGGCATTCGTTTCAGATATGAATTCATAAACTTTTGTAATGATTCTCAGTTTGAAGACTGTATAGAATCCCTGAAGAACTGGAAGACATTATTTGCTTGGCAAAGAGAAGTTCCCAAACCAACTGGGGATGAAATATTCGAAGAGATAAATGAATACTTTGAAACATACAAGATACTATGGAAACAGAGTGGAAGTTTGGGACAGGTAATGACAGGACGATATAAAAGCTTTACATTAAGTTCAATCTAAAACTTTATTCCAAGTAACAGGTTGTCTTATTCATGCAGAAGCAGTTGTAAATTAAAACTTGCCTGTGGTTTGGAATTTCACATTAAATGATTACATTAAAAATTCAAATGGTGAGCCTAACTAAATCTAAGCTCCTACAGTACCTTCTTTTCACCTTTAGGTGAAGAAATGCGATGAGCTATTTTATTACTGATTATGTGATTATGTGACAGTCCAAAGGAAGGTTTATAAGCGAAAAGGAAACATTTAAATTATTCCATGTGAGTGATTCTGACTTTGCAGATTTGTTGAAGTGTAGTTATTGGCTTCAAAAAGTGGTATCCTTAACTGACATTTTGAGTGCTTGAATTCACTCTATAAAAAAATGCAATGATCATGTGGAAAATCCATTAAGGTATATGACAGAGTTTATGGATTCAGAGCAAAAATTAAGCTTTGGAAAAGTGAAGTTAAAATGGTTTTATAAGTGATGTTTAATTGGTGTTATTTGAATCCTAAAGAAGATTAATAGTGCTAGTAGAGGAAAGTCAGTGTGCGTCTGTGACAAAGCTTTAGTATTATTTTGAAATACTTGATGTAAAAAAGTTCAAGTTTACTCAAAGCTTAAATCATCTGAATAAATTAACATATTTCCTAATTAAAGAAAAGGAGAATTATTAGACTTAAAGAATTTTTGCACCCTTGAAATACATACAATTTGAAGAGACTAAGTTGTTGGAATACTGGTTAATGGTGAAAAAGGAGTTTTCAGTCTATGAGAGCAAAGCCTTCTCTTTTGCCATTTGCTTCTTTGTAGTGGTTGCTATGTAGAATTCAAAGAAAACATTGTTAAAAAATCTTGGTCAGGAGTAGAGTGTAGCATAAACCCAGTGCATTTTAACATGAATAATGAGGAAAAAGGGAATGCATGATAATTTCATCAAGTCAGAAAAAAATGGAAAAAGAAAAAGAGGAAACTGAAGAAAGTAATGAAAGTAAGGTGAAAGGGAAAAAAACTTTTTATACCACCTGTGAATGAGATTAATTTTCATTTCCGTACTGAAAGACAAACATATTCCGATTAAGCCATTCAAAATAAAAAACAATTTTTTTTTTAATATGAGATGGGATCTCACTATGTTGACCAAGTTAGTCTTGAACTCCTGCCCTCAATCAGTCCTCCTGCTTCAGCCTCCCAAAGTACTAGGATTTCAGGCATGAGCCACTGTGCCTGGCCAAAACCAAAATTAAGCAACAAAACAACAACAACAAAAATTCCGGACAGCCTTTAAAATAGTGATAAAGGTTGAAAAATTGTAGATAGTGGTAGATAGATAAGATTTCAGGAAAAGTCCAAACCAAAGCAAATCATAATACGTTATTTTAAAGGGGGGTTTAAAATCCTTTAAAGGTACAATATGAAGCATTATGAAATGATAATATACATGTTTTTTAAAAAAATTAATTTTATTTTAAGTTCCAGGATACATGTGCAGGACGTGCAGATTTGTTACATAGGTAAATGTGTGCCATGGTGGTTTGCCGCACCTATCAATCTATCACCTAGGTATTAAGCCCCACATACATTAGCTGTTTTTCCTGATGCTGTCCCACCTCCAGGACCCAGTGTGTGTCGTTCCCCATATATTCTCATTGTTCAGCTCCCACTTACAAGTAAGAACATGTGGTATTTGGTTTTCTATTCCTTTGTTAGTTTGCTGAGGATAATGGGTTCCAGTTCCATCCATGTCCCTGCAAAGGACATGATCTTCTTCCTTTTTATGGCTGCATAGTATTCCATTGCATATGTATCACATTTTCTTTATCTAGTCTGTCATTGATGGACATTGGGGTTCTTTCTATGTCTTTGCTATTGTGAATAGTGCTGCAGTGAATATGCATGTGCTTGTATCTTTATAATAGGATGATTTATATTCCTTTGGGTATATACTCAGTAATGGGATTGCAGGGTCAAATGGTATTTCCGGTTCTAGGTCTTTGAGGAATTGCTCCACTGTCTTCCACAATGGTTGAACTAGTTTACATTCCCACCAACAGTGTAAAAGCATTCCTATTTCTCCACAGCCTTGCCAGTACCTGTTGTTTCTTGACTTTTTAATATACGCCATTCTGACTGGCATGAGAGGTTATCTCATTGTGATTTTGATTTGTATGCCAAAAATATTTGTATTTCTCTAGTGATAAGTGACGTTGAGTTTTTTTTTCATGTTTCATGGTTGCATAAATGTCTCTTTTTGAGAAGTGTCTGTTCACGTCCTCTGCCCACTTTTTAATGGGATTGTTTTTTTTCTTGTAAATTTGTTTGAGTTCCTTGTAGATTCTGGATATTAGACCTTTGTCAGATGGATAGATTGCAAAAATTTTCTCCCATTCTGTAGGTTGTCTGTTCACACTGATTTGCTGTGCAGAAGCTAAAACACGTGATTTTAGAAGAAGACCTGTCAAAGTCATACATGCTGAACGACATAGCGAGTACATATGTAAATAAAAAATTATTTTATACTGTGAATTTGACCAGGAATAACCTTTACCTCGTCAGGAATTACAATCCTCATGTATGGCAAAGGATTTCCCTATTGCAAGTTATTCCACAACATTAATTTTCGGTGTGCTTTTTATCTATCCCAAGATATAAGTAAATTTGACAAAGATGTTAGGTTTGTAAACAAATTTACGTTCCAGTTCTTTGCCTGGAAGTATCTAGATAGAATTTTGCGTGCAAAAGAGTATTTACATCTAAAAATTACATATTTTGAATTAAAATGATTTTAGTGTTATAGATAGAAGGAAAGAGTTATTGAAGTTTATTTCTGTTTTGGCAGTGTAAATGAATTACTTACAAAATTTCAGAAGTCTACAGGTGTTTTTATAAAGTTTGTGTTATTTGTGGAAACATCAGTTTTCTGGCATTTTGCCAATGAGATCTACTCTACGTATAGCAGAAACTTGTTTTCCAGCTTTATAAATATATATTTTAAGATTAAGAACTGATTTTACATAAATAATCTGGGATCAACTTTTGACTTCTCCTGTCAAGGATTTTGAATTTGTGACAAAATATACACTTATTGATAACCAGTGACATATATAAAATGCTTTACAGTTCATAAAGCATATGTATTTGACATATTTTTTCACTACATATGATGCATGTGGCAACCCCAAGAGTTGAGTTGTACCCATGGGCAAACTTTGATCATGATTCAGTGAATATAAGCAAGCACCAATTGCAGATAGAACATTCTTTTTTGAGTCCCAAACCGTGAGAAATAAATTACAAAAATGTACCTTTCTTCTGCATTAGGACACGTTGTAGTTTTGTATTAACACGCTAGTTTTAAGCAATATATGCAAAAACATTGCACAAAGGAAGTTGTTTTGATATTGGGACTCCTGTATTATTATTTTTAATTATGTGCTTTATTTGACTACCCCACATTTTCAAGCATAAATTAATAAATCCATAATTCCAGGCTCATTAACAGTAAACAATCTCCAGGCTCATTAACAATAAACAATCTAGATAGTTGAACTCTTTCTTGCTAACATTTTCTAGATATGGACTGTTTGGTATTTTTCTACTAATAAAGACCCTTAGTAAGCTGCCTTCTGGTTTGAGGTCATTGGGATGTTTACTGGGAACTTTGGTGGAGGTCTTTCATTCTCTCTCCCCTAGTGGTTAAAGAATGAGTTACAAACCTGCTCTGTTAACCCTTTCCTTCCCAATGCACAATAGCGATGGAGTTTGTTCTCTAAATGGAAAATTTGTTTGATAAAGTCATCTTTAAAATTTTTTGTTCCATAAATTATCAGTATTTTCAGTTTCTGATTCATGCTTGGAATAGTTGCTGCGTATTGTTTAATTTTGTCAGAATTTATATTGTTAAATATCAAATACAACAGACTATTCTCAAATCATAAATAGTTAGTATAGTTAACATTAACATCCTGTGTCATCATGAGACTCTTCAGTGTTACGTTAAAAACTGCTACCTCCTTGGCTGGGCGTGGTGGCTCACGCTTGTAATCCTAGCATTTTGGGAGGCTGAGGTGGGCAGATCATGAGGTCAGGAGATCGAGACCATCCTGGCTAACACGGTGAAACCCCCTCTCTACTAAAAAATACAAAAAATTAGCTGGGTGTGGTGGTGGGCGCCTGTAGTCCCAGCTACTCAGGAGGCTGAGGCAGGAGAATGGTGTGAACCCAGGAGGCAGAGCTTGCAGAGAGCCGAGAGCATGCCGCTGCACTCCAGCCTGGGCAACACAGTAAGACTCCATCTCAAACACAAAAACCAAAAAACAAAAAAACTGCTACCTCCTTATTAGAAAGCTAAAGTAATAGGAACTAAGGTTGAAGTTTGAGGAATTTACTAAGAACTAAGCCTTGAGCTAAGGCTATTTCAATTTAGTATGAGTCATATCAGGGTACGGATCCATTTTACTATTAACAAAACAAATATGTTATTATTATCATTTTTTAATGCACACACCACCTTTGGGAGATTCTTATTCACTGTATTTTCTTTAATTATACTTGAATTTTGGTTTACATTGAGGGGTGCCCTCAAAGATATTAACAGATTTTTAAAAAATCCACTAAAAAACTCATTCTTAGGGAAATTTGTTCACTTACTAGGCGAGGAGCAAAATAAAAATCCTTAATGTAGAAGAGCTATTATCTGTCTTCAAAATTAAATCTTTAAGTAGACTTGTGAATAAATCTAATAGTTTTGCTGAGTTTACTTAGATCTTAAGACAGAATAATCATGTAGAAAATTTAAAATGTCAGGAATTCATAATAATTCATATACCCAAGGATTTTCATTCATAGTGAGGTGAGGTTATTCTTAAGAATCAAAGTCATAGAATAATAGAATTTTGAAACTGTCAGAATTATACAAGTCAATTAAAATGGCTGATTTGTTTTAAGAGGAAGAAATACTAAATGTATAATTATTAGATGCAGCATATTGTATCTGTTTTCTTTTGTAATTCTAGCTCTTATAACTTATGCTTGGACCTAGGTGTCATAACTTACTTTAAATATGTATGTTTGGTTTTCATTCATATCGACAGTACTACCTCTCAGTTTTTTTCAGATATTGTTTTGTATTTACCCATGAAGACATTGTTTTTTTGGACTCTGCAAATAGGACATTTCAAAGATGAATGAAAAAAAATCGGAAACAACTTCACGGCAGCGGAAATGTCCTGAATGGATGAATGTGCAGAATAAAAGGTGTGCTGTAGAAGAAAGAAAGGTATGTTGTTTATTGACTATTCTTTCAGGTGGGAAATTTAATTTATATTTGACTGTGCAAAGAGTCAGTTGTTACTTGTAAACTTCAAGTCATTGTTTAGGTCAGAGTTACTGTTGTCTAAATGCACCAGGACCTAGTTGTTGAAAGGGTAAACTGGAATAAACTTTAATTGGGCTTCCAAAATGAGAATTCTTACTGTATATTTTCTCTTTTTATATTCAGTTTGCATGGTTGACTTTACCAGTTTGTTCTAGTTCAGATAATTTAGACAACATTACCTTTGTTGAATTTTTTGTTTGCCAGCCAGCCTTAAGCATTTTAAGGCAACATTATTCTTACAGCTACAATATGAATATAATTACCAGAAAAAAAAACTCAGGAAAATAAATGCTTTTATGAAAATGGGATTAGAGGTTTAAAGATAAACTTGTTAGGAGAAATAATTTTACAATGGGATGGCTTTTTCTTTGTTTAGTTTTCTTTATGACTTCATTAGTTTATAAAACATTAATTGATAAAACTTAGAACTATAATATTATTTCAGTGAACATTTGTTATTTGATGTGAACTTTGTGCCTGTTTTGAAATTTGCTAAACTCAAGGCATGTGTTCGGAAGAGTGTTTTTGAAGACGACCTCCCCTTCTTAGAATTCACTGGATCCATTGTGTATAGTTACGACGCTAGTGATTGCTCTTTCCTGTCAGAAGATATTCGGTAAGTGATTTGAATTTCCTGATTTCATTTGAATTTGGACCCTTAGAAGGTACTATTATGGTAATATTGTAATATTTGTGAATATACTGAGTTTTACAGTTGAGGTGTGTTCAATAGATAATTATATCTATGTATAGACTATCACCAAGTTTTACGTTTCAAATAAAAAATAGTCACTGAATTGATTTGTAATCTGTCAGTTTGTTCATGCATATGCTTTTCTATTACTTTAGACAGTTTTTTTTAAACTTTTTTAGTGTATCTGCTGCTGAAGTGAGCATGACAGTTTTTTTAACTTTTAGTACTTAAGATGTTATATATAGAGCTACTGAACATATTGTGTTTATTTTACCAACTTAGGGAAAAAATGCAAAAATTATTTAACCTTTAAATGCACCTTTATATTTCATTAAAAATAATCAACATAGTAATATTGAATAATGGCTGTGATTGGCTCTGTTGTGTTTAATTAGCAACAATTCTAACAAATGATCCTTAAAAAATGTTCTCACTAAACATTAGAGGCCAGATAACGGTGGCTCAGGCCTGTAATCCCAGCACTTTGGGAGGCCGAGGCGGGTAGATCACGAGGTCAGGAGATCGAGACCATCCCGGCTAACATGGTGAAACCCCGTCTCTACTAAAAATACAAAAAATTACCCAGGTGTGGTGGTGGGCGCCTGTAGTCTCAGCTGCTCAGGAGGCTGAAGCAGGAGAATTGCTTGAACCCGGGAGGCGGAGGTTGCAGTGAGCCAAGATTGTGCCACTGCACTCCAGCCTGGGCGACAGAGCAAGACTCCGTCTCAAAAAAAAAAAAAAACAAAAAACAAACCCGCAAACAAACAAAAAACAGAAATGTCTGTTAGTATTTTTAAAGGTTGCCTTGTAAAATTAGGACTGCAATAATGCAATCCAAGGCTCTCAAAGCATAAAACAGAAGTAATAAGGAATTCATTCAGATCTTTTTTGAAGTTGTTATACCTGTCTTTTTTTTCTTTAAAAAAAGGAAAAAATTTATTACATATTGGGTTAAAAAAAGCAGAGGTGCTGGGCACAGTGGCTAATGCCTATAATCCCTACACTTTGGGAGGCCAAGGCAGGAGGATCGCTTGAGCCCAGGAGTTTGAGACCAGCCATAGTAAGACCCCATCTCTATAAAAAAAAATTTAAAAATTATCCAGGTGTCTGTGGTCCTAGCTACTCAGGAGGCCTAGGTTTTGGGCCCAAGAGGTTGAGGTTGCAGTGAGCCTTGATCACACCACTGCTCTCCAGCCTGGGCAACAGGGCAAGACCCTGTCTGAAACAGACAAAGAAACAAACAAAAGGCAGAGGTAAGTTAAGCTATTTATTAATGGTCTACTGGTGTAGATATAAGCTAGAAATAACATTCAAGTGTTTTTACTTCTACTATAGTTATCTGGCCACTTTGGGATTCATTATACTGAATTAGTTTCACAGAGGAGGTAAAATCTGTTGTTTATGATTACATATTAACTCTACCATGTTACCTTCAGCCTTGCTGAAGGTATGTCATTTCTGAAGGCAATTAGCAAAAGTGACTTGAAGAATTGTAGTTTTGATGACTTCTATGTATTTTATAAAAGGCAGGCAGAGTTTTTGTGTTTGCTTTCCCTTCCTCTGGATACCTTAAATTTTTGCTACCACAGATTTCCAACAATTTGATTATGATGTGCCCTTGTGTAATGTGGTTGGTGTTTATTTGGCTTGGAGTTTATTGAATTTTTTTGGTCCGTGGACTTATACCTTTAGTCAAATTTGAAAAATGTCTTCAGATCTTTTTTCCTCCTATCCTGTTATTCTTTTCACTTTCTGGGACTCTTAGTACACACAAGTTTGATTGCTTGATACTGTGTTGCAGGCCACTGAGGCTGTTTCCTTTTAGTCTTTTTTTCTTTCTCCTTTTCTTCTTTCTGTGCTTTCTTTTGAATAGCTTCAATAGTTTCGTTTCCTATGTCTTCAAGTTCACTTATATTTTTTTCTTCTATAGTGTCTGGTCTGTTTATACCATCCTGTGAATTTCTTTTTTAGATACTACATTATTTTGTTTATCTCTAGGAGTTCCATTTGGTTCTTTTTTTTTTTTTTTTTTTTCCCATTTTAGCTCTCATTATTCATGTTTCTTTTGAAATTCTTGAATATATTTAGCATATTTTTAATAGCTGTTTTAATGTACTTGTCTGTTAATTCCATTATTCTAGGATTTTTTTCTTTCTGTTGGATGATTTTTCTCCTGGTTTTGGGTCATATTTTCCTGTTTATTCTTACAGCTGTTAATTTTTTTTTTTTTAAGATTAGGCATTGTGATTTTACTTTGCAGAATGTTAGATTTTATTGTTTTCCTTTAAAGAAAGGAACTTTGTCAGACATCTAAGTTACTTGAAGATCAACTTTATGTTTTGAAGCTTGTTTTCAAGCTTGATCAGGGAAGGTCCACATTTGCCTTTAGTCTAAGGGTAATTTAGCCTTCTAATAAGATGTGACCCTTCTGGAGTCTTTGTTGATTGCCTCTGGTGATCAGCCATCTGTTCTCTGACTTCTCAGAGCTTTAATGCCTCTTACCTTTGTGTAAGTCCGTCCTGAGAATCATTCAGCTTATGGTTATTTGCCCGGCCCCATAGAGTAATGATCTATGCATGCTTGTCTTCGTATTCTGCAAAGACCAAAGGAGTCCCTTAGGAAGATTTCCGGAGCTCTTTTCCTGCCTAGCTTCCTCCTCTCCAGAACTCTACCCCAGCAGTTCCAGGTCCTTCAGCTTCCAGGGCTCTGAACTCTGTCTCCCCAACTCAGTGCTCTCCTTGTGATTCTTCTCCCTGTTCTGTTGTCTGCAATGGGTCCCAGGAAGAACGTGGGGCAACTGTAAGGTTCACCCTTCATTTCCTTTCCCTTGGAGATCATAGTCCTGTACTGCCTGTTGTCTAGTATCCGAAACAGTTGTTTTATATGTTTTGTCCAAGTTTAGATTTGTTTGTGGTGGGAGGGTGAGTCTGGCCTCCCTTGTTATAATGTTGGCCTGAAGCAGAAGTTGAGTTTCTTTTATTTTTTAAATATATTTTCAATTTTTAACAACTGTTAAATAAGCAAATATCAACAACAATAGATAACAATATAATAAATATGCATATTCCTCCCACTTTGTTTATCAAATCTTAATTTTCTTCAAAAAAAAATTTTTTTTTTAATAGGGTCTTACTCTGTTGCTCGTGCTGGAGTGACAGTGGTGTGATCTTGGTTCACTGCAACCTCCGCCTCTTGGGCTCAAGTAATCCTCCCACCTCAGCCTCCTGAGTAGCTGGGACTACAGGCATGCACCACCACGCCTGAATAATTTTTATATGTATTTTTTTACAGAGATGGGGTTTTTGCCATGTTGCCCAGGTTGCTCTTGAATTCCTGGACTCAAGCAATCTGCCTGCCTTGGCCCCTCAAAGCGTTGGGATTACAGGCGTCAGCCACTGCGCCTGGCCTGTTTTCTTCAGTTCTTTATCAAGAAATGAAACATTAAAATACAGCTGAAGCCCCATGTTTGTTCCTTCTGATTCTCCCCCTGTGCCCCTCTGAGATAACTTCTATGAGTTTTGTGCTTTTTTTTTTTTTCCTTTTTAATAAAAATAGGGTCTTGCTCTGTTATCCAGGCTGGAGTGCGGTGGTGAGATCATACTCAATGCAGCCTCAACCTTATGGGCTCATGTGATCCTTTCACCTCAGCCTCCCAAGTAGCTAGAACTACCGGTATGTGCTGCCATGCCTGGCTAATTTATTTATTTATATTTTTTAAAGACAGGGTCTCACTATGTTGCCTAGGCTAGTTTTGAACTCCTGGCTTCAAGTGATCCTCCTGCCTTGGTCTCTCAAAGCACTGGGATTACAGGCGTGAGCCACTGGCTGCTCACATGGTTTTTATAATAGTACTTAATAATTTTATATCTGAAAATATTATATAATGTTATTTTGCCCATTTAAAAACTTTAAAAAATGCTAGCAAACTATGTGTACTCTGTAACTTGTCTTTTTTACTCAACACTATGTTTTTGAGAATTTTTCTTGTTGATCTGTGTAGTTACATTTTAACTGTTACATCTTACAATGTTTCCTTATGCAACAGCTGGTTCAGTCCATTCTCTTGTTAATGGAAATTTAGTTTGTTTCTAAGTTTTGCCAGTAGGAACAGTGTTGCAGTGCACATTCTTAAATATGTCTGTTTGTACACATCTGAGGGTTTCATTTATTTGTGACAAAACTTGCTGGGCCATAGTGTTTATGCACCTTCAACTAGATATTGTCATTGTCAAAGTTTTCTTCCAAAAGGATTTTACCAATTTATATATTCCCCACTGATAGATATCCTTTTAACACTTGGTATTCTGAAACTTTAATTTTTACCAGTCAGATAGATGTGAAATCATGTAGACTTAATTTGCATTTCTTTGACTTCTAGTGAGAAGCAGTGTCTTCACATTTTTTTTTGGATTTTTAAAATTTATTTTTTATTTTTGTTTTTCTTGGAGACAGGGTCTTGCACTTTTACCCAGGCTGAAGTGCAGTGATGTGATCATAGCTCACGTTAACCTTGAACTCCTGTACTCAAGTGATCCTCGTGCCTCAGCTTCCTGAGTAGCTGGGACTACAGGTGTGTGCCACCACGCCCAGTTAATTTTTAATTTTTTTTTTTTTTGGTAGAGATGCTGTGTTGCACAGGTTGGTCTTAAACTCCTAGTCTCAAGCAGTCCTCCTGCCTTGACCTCCCAAAGTGCTGGGATTACAGGGGCAAACCACCGTACCTGGCCATATCTTTTGGATTTATAGGTCATTTGGATTTTCTTTTGGGAATTACCTGTTCATATTTTTCTCCATTTTTCTGCTGAATAATTTGTCTTTTCTTATTTTTCAAGCAATTTTACATATTTTCTGGCTGTTCATTATCAGTTGTATGTGCTGCAGATAACTTGTCTGTGATTGCCTTTTAATTTTTGAATTATGTCTTTAATTATACAGAAGTTTAAATTTTTAACATAATTAATTTACACGATTTTTCCCCCCTTAGCATGAGTCTATCAGATGGGGATGTCGTGGGATTTGATATGGAGTGGCCACCTTTATACAATAAAGGGAAACTTGGCAAAGTTGCGCTAATTCAGTTGTGTGTTTCTGAGAGCAAATGTTACTTGTTCCACATTTCTTCCATGTCAGGTTGGTGTCTCTTCATTTTGTTTTTTTATGGCTGATAATTGTAATATATCAACTTTATCCCTATAAAATTAAGTTCTTTTATTAGCTGGCCATTCTCTCATTATCTTAAATTCATTTAAATATTTATGTTCTACCTGATTCACACGCATTCCTTGTTTTATTTAATTTTCACAACATACCTGTGAGGCATTGACATTTTTTCTGTTTTAGAGAAGAGAAAACTGAAATTTTAAGGGGCTAACTGACCAGGATATATACTGCTATTGCTAGCAGGAGTGGCATTGAAACTGATTATTTTTTCTTGTCATTTATCAATCAGGACCATTTGCTTTAGTTAAGACATACTCAAGGTGAATGTGTTTCTGAATTTAAGATTACTGTCAAATACAAATTTAAACATAAACCTGGTATGTATAAGAAGTAGGACATAAATCCATCAGACTTGACAGAACTTATGGAAATAACAAGAAAATGTTACAGTTTTCCCCCAGGGATTAAAAATGTTGCTTGAAAATAAAGCAATTAAAAAGGCAGGTGTAGGAATTGAAGGAGATCAGTGGAAACTTCTACGTGACTTTGATATCAAATTGAAGAATTTTGTGGAGTTGACAGATGTTGCCAATAAAAAGGTAAAATCAATATATATACAATTTTCATAATGAAGATAATTTTGTGTTGCATAGAATGTACTTTCTATCTGAATGTTAGAGTTTTTGAAAAAATAGTTTAAGTTATATAATGTTTTTGTAGCAATAAAAAAGTTCCAAGTGAATGTTCTATAATGAAAACCTTTAGTTTAGTTTTTTTTTTTTCTAATTTTTGTTTCACGATCAGGGGTACATGTGCATGTTTGTTACATAGGTAAACTTGTGTCATGGGGGTTTATTGTACAGGTTATCACCCAGGTATTAAGCCTAGTACCCATTAGTTATTTTTCCTGATTCTCTTCCTCCCTTCTCCCACTCTCCACCTCCCACAGTGTGTGTTGTTCCCCTCTATGTGTCCATGTGTTCTTATCATTTAGATCTCACTTACAAGTGAGAACATACGGTATTTGCTTTTCCGTTCCTGCATGAGTTTGCTAAGGATAATGGCCTCCAATGCCATCCCTGTCCCTGCAAAGAACATGATCTTGTTTTTTTTTTTTTTTTTTTTTTAATGGCTGCATACTATTCCATACTATTCCATGATATATATGTACCACATTTTTTTTTTTTTTTAATGCAGTCTATCATTGATGGGCATCTAGGCTGATTCCATGTCTTTGCTATTGTAAATAGTGCTGCAGTGAACATATGCGTGCATGTGTCTTTATAACAGAATGATTTATATTCCTTTTGGTATATACCCAGTAGTGAGATTGCTGGGGTAAATAGTATTTCTTTCTTTAGGTCTTTGAGGAATTGCTACATAGCCTTCCACAATGGAAAACCTTTAGTTCTAATCCACTGTCTTGGCATACAGTTTCTTTTTTTTTTTTTTTCCCCTGAGATGGAGTTTCGCTCTTGTTGCCCAGGCTGGAGTGCAATGGTACGATCTCGGCTCACTGCAACCTCCACCTCCCGGGTTTAAGTGATTCTCCTGCCTCAGCCTCCTGAGTAGCTGGGGTTACAGGCATGCGCCACCAAGCCTGGCTAATTTTGTGTTTTTAGTAGAGATGGGGTTTTTCCATGTTGGTCAGGCTGATCTCGAACTCCTGACCTCAGGTCATCTGCCTGCCTTGGCCTCCCAAAGTGCTGAGATATAAGCCACCGCACCTGGCTGGCATACAGTTTCTTTCTTTTCTTTTCTTTTCTTTCTTTCTTTCTTTCTTTCTTTCTTTCTTTCTTTCTTTTTCTTTCTTTCTTTCTTTCTTTCTTTCCTTTTCTTTTCTTTCTGTCTGTCTTGTCTTTCTTGTCTTTCTTGTCTTTCTGTCTTCTTTTTGAGACACAGTCTTGCTCTGTTGCCTGGGCTGGAGTGCAGTGGTGCAATCTTGGCTCACTGAAAACTTTGCCTCCTGGGTTCAAGTGATTCTCCTGCCTCAGCCCCACAAGTAGCTGGGACTACAGGCGTGCCACCACACCCAGCTAATTTTTTGTATTTTTTTTAGTAGAGGCGGGGTTTCACCGTGTTAGCCAGGATGGTCCTGATCTCCTGACCATGTGATCCACCTGCTTCGGCCTCCCAAAGTGCTGGGATTACATACAGTTTATTTAAGCAAGCCTTCTCCTTCCCTTCCTCCCGGTTCTTGGTACTCTTTCACATTCATATATTTGCAAATGTAAAATTGTGTTTTAGGTGTATATTTTTAATACATTTATACCAGTAACTCAAAAAAAATTTTTTTTTTATTTAAGGGAGAGCATAATGGAGCTCTTGTGATACAGTGCTCTTAGTGGAAGTTTGGCTCTCAGTTCCATCACCTATATTTCACATACTTTATTAATGAAGTCATTAAATTAAATTCTCATATTTAGCCAACTATTCATTTCGGTGGGAGGTAGAAAGACTACTAACCAGCTTTTTTTCATGAACAGTACCTTTAAAGTCCAAGAATTTTAACACCTACATTAGGGAAATTCTAGAATTAAATTCTTACAATGTGGACTACATATGAGGCTTTTAGTGACAGGGAATTGGTTGAAGGCTGTCTGTGGGTTGTATTTTGGTATAACATTTCCTAATTTTATCTGTGGTATGTTCATTTGATGTCATTTGTTAATACCTGAAAACAGGAACTGATTTTTACTGTGTTGCTTTTTCATCATTTCTAGTTGAAATGTACAGAGACCTGGAGCCTCAGCGGTCTGGTTAAACACCTCTTAGGTAAACAGCTTCTGAAAGACAAGTCTATCCGCTGTAGCAATTGGAGTAAATTTCCTCTCACTGAGGACCAGAAACTGTATGCAGCCACTGATGCTTATGTACGTGCTTAAAGATCTTTAGAAATTGTGATGTGTTTTAAAAACATTATTATAAATGACTTTAGAAAAATTTTATTGTAGTAGTGGCAGAAACTCTACCAAAATATTTTATATCAATTTGGCATTGAAAAATGCTTAGGAAGACGTTTAGTGAAACTGTTCATTCTCGATATTAGTTAGCAAGTACCAATCAACAGATTGTTCAATGCTAGTTATTTTCATTGTCATGAAGCCAAATTAATGTCTAATTTGTATGTAAAAAAAAATGTGAACTTGCTGAAAACATGAAAGGCTAAGAAACCCAGGCTGAGCAAGCACAAATAGTACTGATGATGGATTTGATATATAAACAATTCAGAATGAAAATAATTATAGTACAGTTTCTATTTTCAAACTGGCCTTATTTCCTATATTTATACATAAAATGTGGTGAAATTTTAGAAAAATTGCCTCCAAATTTAGCTTGTTGCTGCCATTAGATATATTTTTATATTTACATGTTTGTATGTAGTGAAATCTGGGCTTTTCTTTATATCTAGCACTATTGTGTGTTTTTTAAGAAACGTATTTTATTCCACAGTGAATTTGTTTTCTCCTAATTCATGCTATCATTTGTAGATGAATATTTTATTGTTTCTGCTTTGCATCTATCAAAGGAATGGAAACTCCTTTGAATTGTAACCAGCAACAATTCACTTTTGTTAGGAAAATTGGATGATAATTTTCCTTTAAAAGATATCCCCAAACTTGCTGAGAGCTAGCACAAGTTCTGTAGCATTTTTATTCATGAAAAATCAATGTGACTTGATTGTTCTTGTTAACAGGACTTAGAAGGAGGACTCTTCATATACTGACTAACATTCTCAGCTGATTTAAATAGGATTTCTCTCACTAGATTGCATTTTGTTAGATTCCATTATAGGTTATTTTATTTGGATATTGTGTGTAATATTGAGTGTGAAAAAGTGAAAACAAACTTTTAAGGCTTAGGCAGCTTACTTTCTCAATTTTCACAATTGGTATGATTATTAAATGAGGACATATTGATATTTGTGTCACATAATAGGTTGAATTCCATGTTTGGGTGCTTTGCGAATCATTCTCTTCTATTTTTCTGAAGATGGGACTTACTGTTTTATTTCAGTGATCTTTAGGACACTTTTAAAATTTTTCTGTTTTTTTATAGGCTGGTTTTATTATTTACCGAAATTTAGAAATTTTGGATGATGCTGTGCAAAGGTTTGCTATAAATAAAGGTATGTTAAGATCCATAAATAAAATGTGAATTCACTCTTTTGTGAGGGTTATCTCCAAAAAGACAATATTCACATATTTGCAAAGCATTTAGTGCTATAACTTCTTGAATGTCTGAGTATTCCTGACATTAGGGTGGGATCCATCAGGGCCCAAGATTAGTGTTTCATCTTTGTTACTTGTGGCAAAGCAGCCCTTACTTCTTTTACTTTGTAGCATTGCTATGTATTTGGCTTCTAGAGTTGGGGCTTTGTGGCTTTCATAATAGCAGTGACACAGCCAGCTTTCTCCCAGTCTGGAGATGATACGTCCTTGCTATAAGTATTTGAAATGCTTTCTATATAATACTTTAAAACATATGAGATGGCTTATCCCCGAGATGGTAGCTAATAAACACTAAATGAGAAAGTAGGTAAAGATATATTTATTCATTTATTAAATATTGTTGAGCATTTTACAGTGCTTTCTAACATACTGGTTTACATTTCTAATTTTTTTCTGTGATTTTTCTCTAATAATAATGGACATGTCATCCAAACTCAGTGCTGTTTTTAGAGGTCTTGATAGGCCAGTGAGTGCAGAAGGAGCCACGTAGTGGAGTGGGTGAGCCCAGGCTTTTTGTTGCACAGACCAATGTGAATCCCAGCCATGTGACCTGTGATGTACCTGTTTCTCCAAGGGTGGAATGTGGATACTAGCATAATGTCTGTTTTATAGAATAATTGTGAACACCTAAAGGGACAAACTATTCAAAACATCTGTATTGATAATAAAGTTATCACTATTCTTGTAGTTTCCTTTTGGCGATTTTAAATGATTGTGTTTGTTAAGATGTTAATTAAATTAGACCATTTTGCTAAATACTCTTAAAAATATGGCATGACTGCCTCATATAAAATGATATGATATTCTTTATAATTGTCATTGAGAAGGGATTCAGAGCCTCTGTGGGTGGCAGGTCCTCCTTTGTATGTTAAGGTAGAAGAGTCTTTATTCTTACTTCCCCTCCCTGGAGAGCCACTTCTGATGAATGCCTGCTGGTTCTCTGTAGTCAGAGGTCTTGTGGCTGTAACTTAGAGTCAGCCTCCATATCCCTGGGTTCTGCATCTGTGGGTTCAGCCAATCGCAGATTGAGAACATTCCAGCCAAAAAAAAAAAAAAAAAATCACAGTTTAAAAAAGGAAAAGTTGAATTTACTGCGTGGAGTACCACACTGAATCCATATGAATGAAGTGATGTGTAGGCATTGTATAAGGTATTATAAGAAATCTGGAGATGATTTAAAGTATACAGGATAATGTGTATAGGTTATATGCAAATACTGCAGCATTTTATGTAAGAGACTTGATCATCTATGGATTTGATATCAGTGATGGGGAGGTTCCTGGAACCAATCCCTCGAGGATACAGAGGAATGACTGTATGTTAATTAACTGAGGCAGGTGATAGGTTTTTTAAGCTGATTAGGGAAACAGTATGTAAAAACTTATTTAACTCATAATAAACTAAAATTCAACAGAGGAGATTTATGAATTTTTGTGTGGAATTGCATGTAGGTTACATGTACAATTTTGTTACATGTGCAATTTTGATGAAAATGCTTCCAAGGAATGTTTACTATATTTTTCACTAAAGTAATACATATTAATAACACAATACTGGAAGTCCTGCTATCTGTGTACCTGTCATTGTAATGCTACATTGTAATACTACATTATTTGACCTTCACTTTTTTCCCCCTTTATTACATTATATATGTGAGTATATTGTGACATCTTGACTCAGATTCCAGTGAATTGTATTAGTTTGGTGCAAAAACAATTATGGTTTTGGTAATTTTTAATGGCAAAAACCACATTTACTTTTGCACCAACCTAATAACCAAGAATACCATCTTTTTGCCTTCCTTCCTCCCTCCCTTCCTTTCTGTTATTCAGCCAGAAGTATCAGCATCACTGTTCTCTAATTTTCTTCATGTACATATGGATGATATTTTCAAATGATCACTTTTCTCTTTCGCGTTTTATTATTAGACTGTTTTTTTCTTCTTGTTAAAGGATAAAAAGATTAGAACATAAAAGAATGTTTACACATTGTTTCCCCATTGACTTATTCCCAAGATGGTAGCTAATAAACACCAAATGATATAGTAGTTAAAGATACATTTACTCATTTATTAAATATTGCTGAGCATTTTACAATATGGGAATACATTAGTGAACAAGCCAGGCATAGTCTGTTTCCTGAGGGGCCTACAGTTTTATTGGGGATATAGATGAGTGAAAAAAGCAATTGCAGGGAGATGAGTCTTACGTCATGGGAAAACAAGGTACAGTAGTTAGCATACCAAGAGGCATCTGACACATATTGGGGGAAATATTATAGAATATTTCCTGGAGAAAGTGCAGGTAAAAGCCAGACCTGAAACCTGAGCAAGAGTTAGCTAAGGCCGGGTGCAGTGGCTCATGCCTGTAATCCTAGCACTTCGGGAGGCCAAGGTGGGTAGATCACCTGAGGTCAGGAGTTCGAGACCAGCCTGGCCAAAATGGTCAAACACCATCTCTACTAAAAATACAAAAAACTAGCTGGATGTGGTAATGGGTGCCTGTAATCCCAGCTACTTGGGAGATTGAGGCAGGAGAATCGCTTTAATCTGGGAGGCGGAGGTTGTAGTGAGCCGAGATTGCACCATTGCACTCCAGCCTGCATGACAAGAGTGAGACTCTGTCTCAAAAAAAAAAAGTTAGCTAGCTGAAGAGTATAGGAAAGAATGGGTACAGGAAATTACAGGCGCCAAGTTTCAGAGGTAAGAGAAATTATGGTGTCTATAGGTAATTGAAAGTAGTTCAGTAGAACATTGAATAGGACTGGGCGGATAAAGGCGAAGCAGAAAAAGGAAAGCAGATGGGCCATGGTAAGAAGTTTATATCTCCTCCCAAGAGCAATCGAAGTGACTGAGGGTTTTAAACACAGCAATGAATTGCATTTAAAAAAAGAAGAACTTGGGCTCTAGAATAAAAAACGAATGGTAGGAGGAAGGCAGGAGTCACAGTAGGAATATCTTTTGGGAGGCTGTGACAGTAATCCAAGTGAGAGGTAATGGCAACTTGAATCGGTTAATTGTGTTGAGAATGGAGAGAAGTTGACAGATTCAAAATTCATTTTTTTTTTTTTTCTTTTCTTGAGTCTTGCTCTGTCACCCAGGCTGGATGTGATCTCGGCTTACCGCATCTTCTACCTCCTGGGTTTAAGCGATTCTCCTGCCTCAGCCTCCTGAGTAACTGGGATTACAGGCACCTGCTACCACACCCAGCTAATTTTTATATGTTTAGTGGAGATGGGGTTTCGCCATGTTGGCCAGGCTGGTCTTGAACTCCTGGTCTCAAGTCCTCCGCCCACCTCAGCCTCCCAAAGTGCTGGAATTATAGGCATGAGCTACCACACCTGACCTCAAAACACATTTAATAGAGCAAGCATTGAGCCACTATGCCCCGCCTCAAAATACGTTTAATAAACCAACGGAATTTGAGGTAATGATGAAAGACACATGTCAAGGATCATTCCTGTGTTGTTGGCATAAGCAACGGGAATGAAAAGCATTGAGGAAGAGCAAGATTTTGGGATGCATTGTCACACAGTTGATTTTAGGTATGTTAAGGGAGAGAGACCTGTAAGATAGCAAAGTGGAGATGGTGCAAGAATTAGTTGTGTTGGCTGTAGCGCAGAGGACAGTTTGAGTTAAGAGAGTTTGGACTGAGAATCCTGAGGAACTCTTAGTGTTGAACATTTGTGTGGAGGAGGGGACACCAAAGGAGTTGCCATAGACATCGAGGAAATTAGGAGGTGTGGTGTGCAGAAAACCAAGTGAAGAACATGTTTTAAGTAGGAGGATGCTATCAACTGTTTTAAATTCTGCTGAGAGTTTGAGAAACTGAGGACTTAGAATTCATCATTAGATTTGGCAATGCGCCGATCATTTGTAATCTTTTAAACAATAGCTTTGCTGTACTGGGTAGCAAAGGAGTGTTTTGAGGAGTGGTCATTTGGAGCATATGCTATTCAAACAGAGAAGAGTCCGCAGTCTTTGGTAACATGAAGGTCCTATAACCATAGCAAGAGAATGAGGTAGGAGGAAATCATATTAACGTGAATAGAGGAGTAAGTTAGATCTAAGGAATGTGGAAACAGAGACAGGTTCTCATTATGTTGCCCAGCCTGGCTCAGACTCATGGCCTCAAGCGATCCTCCTGCCTCAGCCTCCTGAATACCTCGGGTTTCAGACCATTGCGTCTGGCTTGAAAACAACATTTTCTTGGAAGCTTGTTTTAGTTGTTTTAGAAATAACTAAGGCGTGTGTAAACAACTGTTCTTCTAGAAGGTTAGTTTGGAAAGGGAACGTTTATTGATTCATATAACACTTACTTGTTGGGTGCTTATGTGTCAGGCACTGTTAGAGTTGCTTGGGAAAATTTACAAGCCAAACGAACCACACCCCTTCATTTCCTTTGGGTGAAGTGAGGGAGCCGTGTGGTTATCTGAAGGAAGACCATAGCAGGATTAGAGGGAAGAAAGTGCAAAACCTCCTAGGGTGATTGGCTGGCTTGTTCGAAGGAACAGTGCATATAACTAAATGAAATGAGTGAGGGTAAGAGTGGCAGGAAATGAGGCTAGAAAAGGAACTTGGGCCACATCACGTAGGGCCTTGTAGGCTGTGGATCTGACTTCATTTCTTATTAATGAAAATAAATACGATGATGGGTGATGGGAAACCCACAGGGGGTTTGGAGCAGAATAATTATATAATTAAAATTTTATTCTAGAAAGATTTTTCTGGTTGTTGTAAAAGGAAAAATGTTTAGCCCCAGGGCATTTTGGCAGAGTTTGGAGGCTATTGTAACAGCCCAGGCAATAGACAATAATTGTTTGGATTAGACTGGTAGCAATAGAGGTGATGAGAAGTGGTAGCCTCTGTAGATATTTGGAAGATATAGATTGTGAGGGATTTGCTGATGAATTCCCTGTAAGGGGTGAGGTGTGAAGTTTGATAGAACGTTAAGATATTTTGGTCAGATCATCTGATGAATGGAAAGGTCAGTTATAGTGGACAGATTATGAGAAGAACAGGTTTGGGTGAGAAAACTTTAGATTTCAGTGTTGCATATCCTAAGTTTTAGATGATTATTGGTATCCAAGAGAATGTCTTAGTTGGAAATATGATCCCAAAGTTCAAGGTTGAGGTTGGAGATGTAATTCAGATCCGATGGTAGTTAAAGCAGTGAGACTGAATGAGATAAAATAGGGAGTGAATGAAATAAAGAATAGACGTGATATTGACCTCAAAGGCACACCAGCATTTAGAGGTTGGGAAGATGAGGAGAGAGCAGCAAAGAGGACTGGGAGGACCACTAATGAAGGAGGGAAGTACAGGAGGTGTTTAGTTCTGAAGCCACCTGAAGAAAATGTTTTAAATAGGAAGAAGTTGTCAGTTGCTTTAAATCATTTGGAGAAGTTGAGTAAGATGAGAGTCTAGAATTAAGTTAGGTTGGATGGTGTGGAGTCCATCAATAACTTTTTCTTTTCTTTTTTTTTTTTTTTTTGAGGCAGAGTCTTGCTCAGTCGCCCATGCTGGAGTGCAGTGGCGCAATCTCGGCTCGCTGCAAGCTCCGCCTCTTGGGTTCACGCTGTTCTGCTGCCTCAGCCTCCCGAGTAGCTGGGACTACAGGCGCCGGTCACCACACCTGGCTAATTTTTTTGTATTTTTAGGAGAGATGGGGTTTCACCATGTTAGCCAGGGTGCTCTAGATCTCTTGACCTCATGATCCACCCGCCTTGGCCTCGAAAGTGCTAGGATTACAGGCGTGAGCCACCACGCCCGGCCCATCAGTAACCTTTTCAAAAGCAGCTTTGCTCTACTGATTTGGGTGAAAACTTAGTTGGAGTTGGTTTGGGAGGAAATGGGAGCAGAAAATTTGAGAGAGTGAGTATAGACAACTCTTTCAAGGAATTTTGCTATAAATGGGAGTAGAGATCTGAAGACTGAATAGCAAATTGAAAAGTGGGAAGATGAGGTAATTCTCTTATTGTTTCATTTTTCTTAGTGAAATAAGAGGTGAAGTTGTTCTCACAGGTGTTGGAGGTTCACAAAGAAAGGAAGATGTTTGAAATAGTCATTTTGAGAGTGGGAAACAGAAGAATTAACAGTCAGGGCTGAGGGTGCGTTTGAAATCTGTGTCCTGAGTTTAAAATAACTTGTGTCATCATCGATGTGCTTTATTTTCAACTATATTCAACTGCTTGGGTGTAGGCATCAGGTAGGTAAAAAAAAAAGTGGGTTTTATTAAGAGTAGAGGTTTTGCCAGGTAATTACCATGGAGGGAGGGAAGAGCAAAGGAGTTGAGAGTCTATAGATACAAAGGAATGATTACTGTATTGTGGGTAAGAGAGAAATGGAAGGCTCAGTGGGGAGTGGGAGTAGGGAGGGCGATAGGTAAGGAAAAGGTGATAGGATCAATGCATTTGGTTCTGCAAGTGTCAAAGTATTGTTGGGGAAAGCATGCTGGAAGGAAAGATAGGTATGCTGGTGTTCTCAGGGTGGAAGGCTTACAGTTGAAGTCTGGAAGTGGTGATTTTATTGGCAATTATAAGGTCAACGGTATGACTGTGGAATGGAGTGGCTAAGGTCTGTTGAAGAAAAGATTGTCGGAAATGCAGGGGTCAAGGAACTGGCCTGTGGATGTTGAAGTCACTGGCAGTTATCACAGGAATAGTAGTGGAGGGAAAGTCAGTTAATGAATCAGGCGTTAAGATCTCCAAGGGATGAAAGGATGCAGTTTGGAGATGACAAGATAACTGTAGTAATCACAAATAGCAGGTTTTGTAGCTCTATCTCATAGGCTTCAGAGGAGATGAGCTTTTGAAGGACAAGAGAAATGATGATGAATAAATTCTAAGCAGGGGAAGTGTTTGGTAAAGCAGGGCAGACTTTGTGCTGTTGATGGCAAATGATGTACCAGGCAGGATGAAGTTGAGAATTTGGAAGATGATCACTGATTAGGAAGGCTTACATTTTATTTTGACCGGGTTGGTAGCTCATGCCTGTAATCCCAGCAGTTTGGAAGGCCAAGGTGGGCGGATCACTTGAGGCCAGAAGTTGGAGACTAGCCTGGCCACCATGGCGAAACACTGTCTCTACTAGAAATAAAAAAAAAAAAAAAAAAAAATTAGCTGGGCATGGTGGCACATGCCTGTAGTCCCAGCTACTCCGGGGGCTAGGGAATGAGAATCGCTTGAAGCCGGGAGGTGGAGGTTGCAGTGAGCCGAGATCGTGCCACTGCACTCCAGCCTGAAAAAAAAAAGGAAGGGCTTGCATTTTATTTTGGTGATGACTGGGAATGAAGGCATGAGGGATGACTGTTGGAGAAGGCTGTGCTTACTAAACAGTATTATTAAGTAGCAGCATACATGGTGTTATACTGACTTCTGATTTTGCAGTAGTACAGACGGGTTCAGATTCTCATTTCCACCTTCTCCTTCTGCCTAGGCCAATAACTACTGGGTTATAATACATATGACTGCAGATCATTTGGAATTTACTTTAAATTGAAACAGTACAAATTTGAAAGAGAGGGAAAGCAACTGAGGCAATTTGGGGATTGAATAAGAAGGTCTTTTTGTTGGAATTCATTTAAGGAAAGAAAATGAAAATTTGAGCCCTAATATTATTTAATGAAGTGGCTGAATGAATATCTCTGCTTTTGTGGTTTGAAAATTAATATTGATGTTTTTTTTTTTTTTTTTCTCCTAGAGGAAGAAATCCTACTTAGCGACATGAACAAACAGTTGACTTCAATCTCTGAGGAAGTGATGGATCTGGCTAAGCATCTTCCTGATGCTTTCAGTAAATTGGAAAACCCACAGAGGTTAAATATTACCGTTTTTTTTTGAATTTAAATCAATTCTGTTTTTTTTAAATTACATTTTCCTGTATGTGAAGAATACTATTCATTAAGGTTGACTCATAGAAATTTGCTTGAATACCCATACACAGACTGATGCATAAATTTGAGAGCTATCTTTCCAGTTGTTAAATAGTGAATCCAAAAGTTTAAGCCTTTTCTGTCTGCTTTGTACGATGTTTTATGAAACAAAGGAATAGAAATTGTATTCATATTATACATTTTGAAATTATATCTATATTATATTTTTTGTGAAAGCAAAATAAGTATACATTAAGGAAAATATTTAAGATTCAAAGTTGTCATTTTCTTTCTGTTAATGAGTATCTTTCATTTGATAACATTTATAGTTTGGTCACTTGAAATCTATAGTGACCAAAAGCAACTTCATACTTAGTAGCCTCATTTTCTGTTATTATCTGATTATTACTTAAGAATTCTACTTAATTAAATAGATTATTAGAACAAAAGACATTGCAATTTTAGAGATTCTTTTATAGCTAAAGCACTAGGTAACTTAAAAAAGTTGGATCAAATGTTATACAGATTAATAGATCTTGGAATACAGGTGCTGTGTCTTTTTGGAATCAGACCTTGTCCTGGCCTTAATTGCAGGATGACTTCCTTGTTAAATCTCTAAAAGCAGGAATGCTCTGGAACGATGAACAATTAGAATGTGGTAATGTAATTTTGGGCCAAAAAATACTTTGTAGAAATGTGAAACTCTTACTTGAAATAGAAAGAATTCTGACTGAAAAAGTGCAGTTAATGTATGCTTTTCTGGATAAGATTTGTGATAGATTTGATTGAGATTTAAAACCATGATATATAAATTTAGCTTTTTTGTCAAAGTAATTTGTCCCCCTAGAATTTGTTTTGGTAATTTTTTTTTCTTTTTCTTTCTTTTTTTTTTTTTTTTT